AACCTGGGGACCACAGATTCTATGTACACTGTTTTCTGGCCACCCAGCAGCAGTTCACCCCACTTCCGTAACAGAGGTTTGGGGATCCACCCCACCCCCATTTGAGTTCTGGGTGGTTCAGGTGAGGCCCCGCCTAGGCACCAGCTCCAGCAATGGGGCCAGTGACCCAGGTCTAAGCCAATCAGGGCATCATATTCCCCTCAGCCCTGGTGATTGGTTGAGGGGCAGGCTCACGACCCAATCACCATCAACGAGACGCCGTGAGACTTTCTGAGACTTCGGGAAAGAGAGTGGGTTCTTCACGCTGGGCCCAAACCTACCCTGCCCACCCCAATCCTCAGCTTATGAAGAGAAGAGAGAGAGATCAGGAGAACTTGTCAGAGCACGGAGTCATCAGTGTACGAAGAGTGTCTCCCTGCCCCGAGCCAAGGAAGGGGTCTCCGATAGAAGCGCTCAGAGAGCAGGGGCGGCTGCCTGAGCCCGGCGTTTCATTCTCCTGGTGATCATCTGCTGATGCAGCAGAATTGCTCATTTGCCGTCTGCAGGCTCAGTTGTCATCTACATCTCCATGTCCCTCTGCCTAACTGAGCAAAGGAAAAGTAAGCCGAGAGAGATGTTAGGGCGGAGAGAGGGGACAGCAGAGGAAGCAGCCATCATGGGTGTGGCCAAGATGTGTGTCTCCCGCAGGCACATGGACACTGTGAAAGGCACTGAAGCTGCTCCGGAGGGCTGACTGCCACCAGGAGACACCGGCACCAAGAAGCTGTGGGGCAGGAGCTGGCGGTAGAAGTGGAGCCGCTCCTCATCAGGGAACTGTGTGGTGGGGAGGTCCCAGGAACCCTCTCGATAACTCTGGCCTCTGCTCCATTCCAGAGGCCAGTGCAGCAAGGCGCTGAGAGAAGCCTCCGTTAGGGAGGATTTGGGGGCTTGGTTCAATGGCCCTAACCTCCTGGAGAAGAAGGGGATCCAGAGGGGCAGGGGAGGAGAGGAAGGAGGGTGAAAGAGCGGACAACATGGCCTCCCCACGGAAGCTTCTTCAGGCCACAGGTCAGCCTGAGTTAAGGAGATGGAAGAGCATTAAATTGGATCTAGGACTGAAGTCTTAAACTGGACCAGACTGGTCTGGACTTTTTCATGCCTAAAAGTGACCAGAAACTTTTGAGATCAGTCTCAAGCTATCATCAAGGAAACGGAAAGGAGATTCATAGAACACATTTAAAAGAAATAATTGGAGAAAACACAAAACGTTTCCATATTTGTACCTCACTTAGTGCAGACTGCTCAACATACTGGTTACACAGCTGTCTTGAGACTGCTAGAGGAGATCCTGCTAGGGGAGATCCTGTCTGAGAATGGAGTATGCCCAGGGCGACTGGAACTGAGAGACAAGGAGAGAGAACCATCTGGGTCCCAGTGTCAGAGTCTGAGCCCCTGCATCAAGCCATACCTGAAGGCAGCACTCCTCTCTGGAATTTTCAGTTATGTGGATCAATAAACTCACTGAGCCAATCTGGGTTGAGTTTTCTATGGCTGTCAACAGAAAGAGTCCTAACTGATACAGTACAGATACTTTTTTTCTTAGGGAGAGGGACATGGCTTTCCTCAGATTCTCATAGGCATTGCTGTAAAAGGATATGGCTCAGGGAAAAGAAGCTCTAGAGCTCAAATCCTGTGATCTCATTGAGAAGCACAAGGGAAGGCCATCTCTGAGGTGTGTGGGGCTCCACAGGGATGTCATGGAAGAGCTGGGTCAGAACAGCCTTGGGTGTAGGATCTGGAGCCTGAGTCTGGCATTAAATGGCACTCAAGAAATATTTACTGAATGGAAACCAGCAGGAAAATTATAACAAGTCATACTTTACATGCAAAGTTTCAGGAATATTTTCAGGAAAATATCTAATGTGTGAACATCTAATCTGCATTTCCATGTCCTGACAGATGGCCCATATTAACAGAACTCTGATTATAGTAAAAAAAAGAAAGAAAGAAAAGAAAAGAAGAGAACATACAAGTATTCATTGGTTGTGTACCATGTGCAAGGCCATACACTCATTAACACTATTGTGATTACCAAATTTATTTCTTAAAAAAAGACAACCTCTATGTATTCCCATTTCTCAGAGACCATCCCAATTGTTACCTAGAGAAAGGAAATGACCTGGGGGTTTACATGGCTGGGGCAAGACTTTGGAGCCTGTTTCCTCTTAGGAGAGGGGTCTGGACCCCTCTAAGGCTGTGTTCTCAAAGAGAAACCAGGGACCACCTGTGTCAAAATCACCTGGGATGTTTATTAAAACTGCAGGTTCCTAGGCCCCACCCGAGAATTATGCAATCAGAACCTCTGAGGGCAGGGCCCTGGAATCTGCATTTTAAATAATTTTCCTGGATGGTTTTATGCACATTAAAGTTTGAAAAGCTTTACCTACCAAAATCTGTTTACTTGCCCATGGAATCTCAGTGCCTTGCAACATTCTGCACAGCCCCATGGGAGGTGGACCTCTGGAGAAAGGCCCGCCCATCCTTGGCTGGAGGATCTGAAGGAGGCCAGGGTTTGGTATGACAGAATCATCCTCCTTGAGGTCATGGTCAGTTCAGGCTGGGTCACAGTAAGGGGTTGTGTTCGTGAGGGCTTTTGAATGGAAGCCTATGGAAACACTCCTTGGGTCGTCCTGGTAGATGAACACAGTCAGATGTAATTACGGTGCTGGTGGGACAGACTCCCAGAGCCCCACAGCTCCTTAAATGACACCACACATGTAGACTTGATTATTTGCTGCCTTCTATTGTCCTGGAGGGTTTTATTTGGAAGGGACATACTGTTTTATAGACATTACTTACTATTTTTCACTTGGCGATTAAATTCCCTGAAGGTGAGGATCATGCCTCGACCTCTTAGAGCTGTGGCCCCCTCTCCAACACACTGCCATTTCTACCAGTGCTGACCGCTCTCTAGATGCTTAAAAGTCTTTAATTTGACCCGCTTCCCGGTTTATCTGAGACCAGGGGGCTGAATCCCCTCTATCGCCTTTACCACCTTCCTGGCATAGCAGCTGGAGCTTCGTTTGGGAGATGCTCTCGCAAGTTCTCAGTCCTATGACTTGAGTATGATTGACCCCGGGGGTGGAATTGACCGGCATAGGCCCATCGGTGCTCGCATTTCTCTGGCTGTAATAGTTGGTTCAAGGATGGGCAGTAGCCTAAGCATTCTGATCAGAGGGAACCTCATGACACTTTCTGAGACTTTTGGGCCACAGGCTCTCTTCTCCTTTGGTTATGAGCAAGGAGGCCTGTAGTCCCACGGCCTTGGCAGGCTGCCTGGGGCTTCGAGAGGAGATCAAGACTGAGAACGGGCCAACACCGAGGAAGCACAGCCGAGAACTGGGGAGAAACTGGGACCTGAGCACATCTTCGAGACCTCATAAAGACCTGCCTGAAGCCACATCTATTCCTGAGTTGTTCAACGATCTTTACTAAGAAGTGCCCCCTCCTCCACCTTTTTTGCTTGAATCACTTTGGGCTGGGGTTTTCTTACCCGCCACTAAACGCATCCTAATAGACATGCCCTTCAGCTCCCCTTATTTCTCTTGCAGTAATGTACCCCAGTCATCTTCGATCCCTCCCCCTGCTCCTCAATTTAAAAAACACCGCAACAACTACCATAAAACAGGATAAGATGGGTGGTGGGAGTGGGTAGTAGGTTATTTGGATTCATGGCTTGTTGAGACTCCATGCCCAAAGAATGTTGATTAATGGATCAATGTCAACCTGGAGGGAAGCCCTGTCCTGTTCAACATTTTAATCAATGGCTTGGATGAAATAGGAGACATGCTTAGCAGGTCTCAGATGACACAGAGCTGGAGGAACTGCTGATATGACAGATGGCAGAAGCAAGATTCAAAATTATTTTGACTGACTTGAGCAATAATAAGGACAAATATAAACTCTTGCATCTAGGCTCAAAAAATCAATCGTACGAGCCGTGGATCGAGGAGACCTGGCTGGCAGATGTCATAACGTCGTGGGGCTTTAAGTTGACCGTGAGCTCGTAATGAGCCAAAAGTTGAGGCAATTAGTAACACAGCTAACGCAGAAATATTGGAAAACTGCATTGGAGAAGAAAGGCTAAGCTTGCATCTACTTTCCCAGAGAGATAAAGAAGTGGAATTTTCTGAGAAGTAGTTTTCAGTTTAATATATGAAAAAAATTCTAATGGTTCCAATAACAGAATAGGCCATCTCCCCAAATTGCAAATGCACTGATAATTATATCAGAATGTAATGGAAAGGATTCTCTTATGGTGGTCTTCCTTTATAAAGCACAGATTTTTAAAATTATTTTCTTTGAAATCTCATAAGTTGAAGTAATACACGCAAAAGCTTCCAGAAAAAAAAGAAGTGATAAAGTAGCCTACCTCAGCTCCCTTTAAAAGTTTGCTTCAAGTCCACCAAACAGGGGCCCCGTCTAGAAGGAACATCCAGAATGTGGACTTGGCGCTGACTGGCCCCATTTCACTTTACTCCATTTCTGGCCCTCCTCCTCAGGGCTCACCCAATCGTCGTTCCTACTTCACCTTGGCCCATCCTTCTGCTAACTCCTGCCTTCCAACTCCGCTCCATTTTCTAGCTCACATCTGCCTCCCGGAGCATGGCGACTCCACAGTCAGAGCATCGGGGAAACCACACCACCTTCCCACCTCTGTCCTTTGACCCTGACTCTTTGCTAAGACTCTACAGCTTTCCCAAGCCAGGCCTGGTTTCAAGGACAGCCCCAGAAAGTGAAGGTATGTGCACTATTTGTCTTTTTCTTTTCTTTTTTTCTGTTTTTCTGAATACTCCGTTTTCCTTGCTAACCCGCAGAGACGGAGAAGGTGGGCAATGGCCCTATTTCATCTTACAAACTTAGAATATGATTTGAGCAAGGCAGTTACCAAAAAATGGTTTCGCTTCTATGAACACAAAAGTCAACTGTGCTGTGGATTTCACAAGGACCACTGTACTCACATGTTTCTCATTAAAATGGTCCACCTCTCTCAGAAGCTTCTCTTGGCAGTCAGGGTTGGTGGCCAGGAGGTAAGTGGCGAACGAGAGGGTGTTGGTGACAATCTCGTAGCCAGCGATGAGGAAGATGAAGGCCTGGCCCACGACCTCGTCCACAGTCAAAGGCCTGGACAGGGGTCTGGGCTGGTGTCGCTGAGAAGGATTTGCTGTGGATTTGGTGGAGGAAAAGACTTGTCTGACGATGTCAAAGTTCTCCACGCCCACAGAGGCGGCAGAATGTCGGGCATCCAGGACCATTTGGAGAAAGTCTCTCCGCCTCTGAGGGACGAAAGAAGAAAACGCACATTTTGGTCTTCGAGTCACATAAGTGAGACTTCTGAGAAGACAAAAGAAGATGCGAGTGTAGCTTTTAAAGAGCTCAATAGGAACAAGGATCCTGATCGTAGGTTACTGAGATGGCAAAAACCCGGAGTTGCCTGAACGTCCCTCAGTACGGCACTGTCAGACGGATCCGGGGCAGCCACCAGCGAACTGTGACACTGCCATTAAAATAGCTGAGGCCTTTCGATCTGGGCTGATTCGGAAAGACCTTAAGCCACTTTGATAAGTGAAAAAAAGCAAGTTGCAGAACAATATGCACAGTAGAAGCTCACTTCTGTAAAAACAGTAAATGCACTAGATAGAATTATGTAAGTTTGTCCACGCATAGAAAACATTTAGCAACATGTATACCCAAGACTTCACAGTGAGCTGGCCGGAGTGGGAGACCACGGGGGCTTTTATCTTTTACTCTCTCCATGTCTGTACTATTGGTAGGTTGGTTGGTTTTCCAACAGTAAAACATCATATAGATTTAAACCAAAGCACATGCTCCATTTTGCCCTTACGCGCAGTTCAGGACTTACATGGTGGCCATGTTTTTCTCACACGGCAGGAAGTTAACAGAAGCAGGGGCCTAGCTTCAGTGAAGCTTGCCTTTCAAGTCTCCCATAGCCTAGACTCCTCATATCGGTCCTTTTTTTCTCAGTAATCCCCTACCCCATGTAAGTAGTTAGAGTTTTCTTGTCATTTCCTCCTACCTTGCTTATCAGCAATTTGCATATTCTTTATATTTTGACTACCACTAATTGTAAGAATAGGAGTGTTTACATATTGCTTCAGCATTGACAAAGTGTATCCCTGGCTCATCCTTTCTTTGAAAAGCTCTTTAATGTGATGAGTGACAACCCATATGCTACTGTTTTCTGAAGTTTATGGGACTAAACAGTAAAAAGAGAGTATCCAAACCGCCAGCAGAAAAATATTATAATTTCAAAGTACTTGGCTTGTTGCAGCATTTTCTTAATTCGTTGGCTTCTGAATTTCTATTTCATTAATAATCTATACCACGCACATCAGCACTTAATTCCGCCCTTGAAGATTGTTGTTATTTCACATGTGGTTGCTTTTTCTCCTCCACAAGATTATAAGCATCTCCAGGGCAGGACGCTGCGCCCCACGCCCCACCCGTGCCTGGTATTGCACTGAGCACGTGTTAGATATGCAGTAAGTAATTCCACAAAGGAAAAAGCAATGCAATAAATGCATCTTGGAGAAGGCTGTGTTGGGTGTGCTTACAACCGCGTGCTATTTGGAGCAGGAAGCTTGGATCCTGACACCTTTGCAGCTCTGCTGCTTCCCAGCTTTGTGACTTTGGAAGGTGTCCTCTGGGACCACAGCAGGCCTCACAGCTAAGCCTGTGGGCATAGAGAGTCTGGGGGGGGGGGGGGGGGGGGGGGCCAGGCCTCAGCGTCCTGCCAGCCAGCTCAGGTTGTAACAGCTGAGAAAGTGGCAAAGGGTCCGCCATCATTGGCTGCCTCTTTCCAGCCTGATCCTCCTCATTCTCCTTCCAAATGGCATCCTCAAAGGCTGGCTTTCCTCAGCTTCCTTCCTGTTGCTTGGTCATATCTGGGTGGCTTTTGTGGCCCCACTGCGAGCCTTGTCCTCTGGGGCAGAGCTGGGGCAGGGCAGGGCATGATGGCACATGTGGGAAGCGAGCACCCTCTGCCACCTTGGCTCCTGGATGCTGCCTCAGAACCCCAGAGCATCCCCAGGCCTCTCAGCTGGCATGTCTGAAACTCCTCAGGGTGCAATACGGTTGTGGTCCCTGAGGCTTGCTTGTGGTTTTGCTGGGGTGGGATGAGGGCAATGGTGGAAGGGAGGGCACAGCCGCATCCACACAGTTGGATTTTTTCACTGCAGAACTGTACCTGGCATCGTTTCCTCTCATCCTGGCTCAGACAGGCTGCTACAGGGCCATTGAGCCTGGCAGAGATCTGCCTTAACCTCCAGCTACAGAGGCCAGAGGAGAGGGCTGCGCTCAAGGCCCTGTGCGCGGGAGAGGAGCATTAGTGTAGATGGGTTTCCTTGATCTGCACTGCATCATGGAGGCTATTTGAACACTGCCCATTTAGGACTGAAACAGAGCTGGTTTATGGTCATATCCAAGAAAAATACGCACCCTGATAGATGTAGGTGTCTTATCCACCCACCGGCTAGAGCTTAGAAAAATATTTACCTTTTAACATCTGTGCTGCATTTTCTACTGCGCAAACACACATCTGCTTGATGGAATGTCTACAGAGTTTAGATGGGTTTAAAGCAGGTTTTCTTAGTAACCGTATAGCCCTGTCCTGACACAAGCAGTCCTGGATTTGTGCTTGGGAGGTTTTTCTCAGATCAACTCATTGTTTGAAACAAATAGCTCTCGAGTTTATAAAAGGAAAAGCTCGAGGCGATCCCAGTAATTGGATCTTTAATAACCCCTCACCTCTTAGTAAGCCATTCGGTGCAACAGTTTTAGAATTTTCAGCCTGATGCCACAGCCAGTGGGTTTCCGGTGGGGGTGGGGTGGGATGTGTGTGTGATTAAACTTTCGGAGGGAAGCCCCTCACAGCAGTATCGAGGTTTGAAATGGTGGTTTCTTCATCCCTTCTTGCCCAGGCTCCATCCTCACTCTGGAGAAGCATGAACTTGGATAAGAACGTTCTGTCCTTTCAGGCCAGGGTGAGCTGATTCTCCCCACACCTCCAAGGGCGTCCAGTTGAGTTCACAGAGGTGTGGGCCAAGGGGCTGTGAGCTTGTATATACCTTCCACCTGCCTTCCGGACATGGACACCTTTGCTGCACCGTCTCCAGGAGATGAAGCTGGGCCACTGGACGAGGCTGCCTCTCAAGGCTGCTCTGTGCATCCAGCCACTAATTGACCCCTGATTTCATTCTCGGCTATCGTCATGATTGGACCTCATGTCCTTTCCTTATTAATCCCTCTCAGCCACCTAATCATTGAGAAAACCCTTTTAAAGCTACATCTTGCACAAGGCAGTTGAGGAAAAGCTATTTCAGGCCTGTTATTCCTTTTAGGCGACTTTCTTGAATGCTACAAGGCCCTTAAGGAGTAGCATTGTACATGCAGGAGCATATGCAATATTGAAATTCTTTTTCTTTTTCTTTTTTTTTTTTAAGATTGGCACCTGAGCTAACAACTGTTGCCAATCTTCCTTTTTTTTTTTTCTGCTTTATCTTCCCAAACCCCCCATACACAGTTGTATATCTCAGTTGCAGGTCCTTCTAGTTGTGGGATGTGGGACGCCACCTCAACGTGGCCTGACGAGCGGTGCCATGTCCATCCCCAGGATCCGAACCCTGGGCCACCACAGCGGAGTGCGCAAACTTAACCACTCAGCCACGGAGCCAGCCCAGAAATTATTTTTCTTAATACTGAAAATTCCTATTTCTATTCAATCAGCAAATATTTACGTGATTCCTACTATGTGCCAAGCATAGGGCAAGTCTGTAAGGAGGAAAGAAATCTCCGGGTCTCAGATGAAGCATGAGAGGGCCCTCAACTACAAATTTCATAGCAAAATCCTCTGTGCTGAGAGGGAAGGTCGGATTGGTGACAGCTCCCTAACTCCTCTCTAATACCCATGCTGTTTTTCCTGGAAAACTCCATCTTGCTGCTTTTCGATGTAAAGCAGATGCTGATGAAAAGTACATGTGGGCACATTTTCCTAGAAAATTCTTTTGGGGCTGCTATAACCTATGCTGGGGGGATACTTGAAATAGAGAGGCCCGTGGGTTTGAGGGGGCGGCTTTAATTTCACTCCCCTATGTCAGAGTGTGGACAGATTGCTCTGGGCTCCTCCCCACCATCCTTCCCACCTGCCCTCACTTTTCTCTTTCTTCTTTGCCTCTCCTCGACCTTTCTTCTTTCTCTCTACTGCCCTGGAAAGCAATAAGTGGTAGACCAATAAAGGTGTGGTGTGCAGGGTTGGGAGGGAAGAGAGAGAAAAGAGACAGCAATGCCAAATTAGGTTCCATTCCATTTCAACGCCGTGTCCTATTAAAATATGTTACCTCTTCTGCTGCTTGCTGGTCCCGCAAGGCAATCACATTCCTAATGAGTTTGTTAAAAAAGCCATTCAGTTCATCTCGGTTCTTATTGGGCAAAATCCGGGCCAGTGGGACCATTATGGATGGAAATGATACTTGAAAGAGAAAAACAAAAGTGGCATTGAAAAGAGGGTGAAAATCAACCAGGCTATTAGATGCCTGTTGCCAGGAAGCAAACCCTGCCCTTGAATTAAAGTCATTTGAAGGCCTGTCTTCCCCTCTGAATTGCTGCTCCTTAGAGCAGGGCTTATGGCTTATTTCCCCTCTAGACTCCTCACCATTCCTTGCACATCGTGAGCACTCAGTAAACGTCTGTACAATTGAAACCCCACTTCCATCTGGCCCCCAAGAATCAGTGTCATAAATTAATTTTCTGGGTCCTAGATATGAGGGCCCAAGGTCTTTGTATTTGATCAAGAAAGAACAGATGACAAGCCACGTTTCTAGTCTTAGCAAGTAGTAGAAGCTGATCTACTTTCTTAACTTTCTGGTCATTTGCATTTTTTTCCACTGGAAAATTGTCCCTAGAGCTACCATCTGAATGGTCCTTAAGAGCGGCCACGGCAGCAGCTGACAAGGATGCTGGTCCTGTCCCTATGGGTGCCTCCCTTGCTGTGCCATGCACAGCTAGGGCTCTTGCTGCCATGCCCGTGGGACAGAGTTAGCTGGGTCAGGGACATGGTTCCCCTCCTGGGCAGTGGCCTGGGCCTAGGCGCTGAGCCGGCCGAGGCGGAGCTTGGCTCAGTTCAGCTTCTCAGCATTCACGGTGGGCCTGCCACACACAGCGTTGTGTGGGATCTGGGCTGGAGAGGACAGCTTGGGACCCGCAGAGGTCTCAGAAGGCTCTGCCATTTTCAAGAGCTGGAGCTCAACCAGTGTGACAGAACAGGGAGGCAGGCTCAGAGTGGCAGAGAGAGAGAGACGTAGCAGCCGTGATGGGACAACAGAACCACTCGCCCCACAGGATGCAGGACAAGTTCATGGTTGATGGCAGGAGGAGCCCCCTCAGCTGGAGCAGCTCCCCTGAGGGTGGAGGGCGTGAGGGGTGAAGGAGGAGGCTGCCTTGACCCCATAGCAGCTCCTCCCACAGTTTCAGTGCCCAGCGAATGGAGGTGACAGAGGCTTCCGTGGAAAGTGACTCAGAAACGGGAATGAATTTACCAGCCCAGCAGAATGGTTAGAAATTACGGTAATAATTAATAACAATAATAACAACGCCTCAATACTTCCAGAAAAGCAGGAAGATACTGGAACTGGCCAGAAGGTAAAAACTCACTTCTAAACTAAAAATAAATCAACTGGCCTCCACAGCATCGGGTAACCTGGCTAGTCACTCATCACGTGTGATTTCTAGTTTACTCTGCACGGAGTCTCAAGGGGAGGGGTCTTCTGAAGAGGATTTTGCTGGAGGGGAGAAATATGCCCTAGAAAAGAAAAGGCTTTCAATGTCAGTCTTGGCTGTGCCTTTTGAAGCCTCAGTTTTCCCATCTGTTAAAAGGGAATGAGAATACCTTTCTCACCAGGTAAATACAAGCACTAACTCAGGCAAGGCACACAAAGCACTCAGCAGGGGGCGCTGCGGCTGTTCTCACGACATGGCCAGGAGAGGCCAGGGCTCCCTGTGTTGATATTAAGTGGCCCCAGGCTGGTGATAAGAGGGGCCCAGGTGGCTCCAGGAAGACAAGCCCTCTGCAGGGCAGACTCCATGGAGAGACACCCTGAATGCCCTTACCTGGTGGCAGATGCTGAGCCCTGGAAGGGGCCTGGGACCACCCAGGTGTCACAGGGTCTGCCCAGCTAGCATAGCCCCCCTTACTGCCCTCAGCAGGAGCTGTACTTACAGATTAAAACCAGGATAGGTCTGGGGATGGAGAATGCAAAGAAACGCCTGCAGTGCTCCACAAAGGGGTCCTCGGGAGCCGTTTGGGAGTCCACCTGGGTGCCAAAGGCGATGCTGGCAACCACATCTGTGGTGTAGCAGCAGTAGCACCTGTGGGAGAGGGAACATTCGAATGTTGAAAGGACTCTGCCAGTGGCCTACCCATCACACTCTCCTGAGGAGGCGGGACTTCCTCATTGTCCACCTGCTCGAAAGGGGTGCTTCCTGCACATCTGGAGTGAGGTGGTCGGAGAGGAGGCAGTGGGATTAGATCCTTTGAGCGTGATGGCAGAATTCAAGAGGACACACAAAAACATAACAGATAACTGATCTCAGCAAAGACTGGGGGGAGGAGAGCATCACCTCCTTGACTTTCCGGCTTCAGCAGCCTTAGTCAACCAGACACAGGCAAACACCAAGGGCTACACTTTAAATTTTCCTCCCGTGAAGGAGTTGACCCAAAGCCGGTGTGCATTACCCCAAAGCTGAGCACAGCTCGTCCAAAGCCAGACTCGAATGCCTAACTGATAATGTAGCAAATTGTGATGGATGAATTAACAACCTGATCGTCTAGTTTTAGTGGTTTTGTCCCTACTTCCTCCTAATGATTTTACAGTTTTCGTGAGAGCAACAAATGAAAAACCAGGACCCTTCACACTCAAATAAACACAAGACAAACTCTGGGACCAACTTCAGGAGCATATGTATATTATTACAGAAAACACATGTTGCACTTTAGAAATAAACAGAAAAGTGTCTGGCAGTAACTCCAGAAAAATTAACCTCTCAGGCTCTAGGAAGCCTGTTCCCCAAATGGCCATTTTAAACTAGAATGATCGTTTCTTGTTATCTTATAGGTGTAGACAAGTTATTTATAAAAAGGCTAACAACTGGATGTTCATATCCTTTTATAATTAAAAGGTCTATTTCCGTGGCTTGATGTAGGCACACGCTTAGTTCCTCTTCAGAAATTCTGTAACCAACAACTCATCATTAAGGAAGAAATGACATCTCCAGATGACTTCTTTATATATTTTGACTGCTTTTATTGAAAACATTTCTATAATTGATTACTTATCTCCCCGCTACAGCAAAAACAACAGTTTGACTACTGAATATCCTGATTGCATCTGATCCTAATGGTTGAAGATTTAAGGATTTTAAGAGCTATTTACTTTGCTTTTATAGCTGTTGAGCCCATCTTATCTTTAGCCAACGCATGTATCTCATGACCAGAGAGAATGTGTATGAGAGGATTTTGTGAATAATATGGCAGAATTTAGATGCTGGTGATGATTATGCTATTACTTTATTAACAACGATAAGAACGAGTTGGCTTCTGGCTGATCTGCCACACTACTCCTAATCTGCTATAAACCATAATTTAGCACAGGACAATGGGGAGAAAACCCAGATAATCAGTCATTTAAATTTGATGTCCACCACTAAGTCGTGGCTTCTAGGCTGAGGTCCTCCACAATATTTCTTGAAGTAAAAATGCCTGGACTTTTCCCCAGGACCCTGTCCTTTCTGCCCAGGTGTATCCTGCCCTCTCCTGGGTCTGTAGAGGTCGGAGGGTGAGTCCACCTACAAACCACTGCCCACTCGAGGCTTCCCTCAACCTGCCACACCTCCCCTGGGCTTTGCTCACATCCACTTCACATTTCATGTGGGTTTCATTTCTTCTTATTAGTCAGTCCACCCATGCTTTTATGAGCTTCCAGCATTTCCATAGTTTGCTGGTCCCGAGGTAACTGTCCGGTAATTGTGTACGTCACAAGAAGCAGCAATTCAAAAATGCAATTTCTCATCTGTAAGGTAGCCCTGTAGCGCCCTCACCTCTGGATGTTGCAAGCATCTCCTGATTCTGCATAGCGTTGTAAATGAGCCAGGAGCAGGTCGCAGGCTTGGCTGATCAGGGGCATCATCTGAGAGTGGATAACAAAGGTGTAATTAGGACACCATGCAGGGAGCACACCTAAATTAGCTGTAGATAAAGAGGTTATTGTGGGGCTTCCTGGGAAAATGGACATTGTTTTGAAGGCAACTTTTACACAGCTAAGATTCAAGAGGAAGTTTTAAAATTCACGAATATCGTAAAATACAGTAGCTGTAAACGTCTATTTTAGCTCAAGCAATCTGGTTATTTTGGAAGCAAAAAGAAGAAAGTGTTTAGAGTAAATACTGTGAAATAATTATGAAAATGATCATTAAGTGCTAAGACAGAACGGAGAATCAGTACTCGGTTTCATGACGTGGTTAACATCAGAGAGTAATTGAGCACGATCCATATGTACTGTCCCTGGAATTAGGCCAAATCCGTGTGTGTTTGGTTCCAATCATACTTCAGACCTTTGCTAGAATGTAGAATCTTAGTATCCAAAAAAACCTAAGCCCATCCATTTCAACTTCTTATTCAATATAAAAATCTTTTTTCAAGCATTTCTGATAGATGGTTATTTATTTCTGCTTAAGCTGCTTAAAGTTTCAAATATAGGGGAACCCTTGACTTCAAGAGGCCTCCTATGCCCACACAGGACAACTGCTGACTTTCTTTTTTTAATACTAAAACATTTTTATTATGGAAAATTTCCAGCATACGCATAGAAAGAGAGAATGGTATCGTGATCTTTTGTGTAACTATCATCCAGCTTCAACAAATTTAGATCTCACTTTTGGCCACCCACCTCTTTGACCCTAATAGGCTGGCTGCAGTGGGCGGACTTCATTGTGGAGCCTCATGGCCGCCCACATGACCTTTCATTCTCTCCTATAGGTTTGAAAAGCCAAGCTGGAAACATCAAGGGGAATCATTTTAACCAGAGTGCCTTCTAGAATAACACCACAGCTGAAGCAACACGCAGCAATACGTTTCTCTGAGCATTTCTTATGGCAAACGTTTTTTGAACTGTTACCTGTGTTTAGATTGTACTACTATGACACCAGAATCTAAGTTCCCGAGGGCAGGGGAGACTTTTTGTCTGTTCTTTTTTGTGTCCCAGCACCTAGAACAGTGTCTGGCACACAGGAATTATTTGTTGAATGAATTGAATTTTTTTTTTTTTAAAGATTTTATTTTTTCCTTTTTCTCCCCAAAGCCCCCCAGTACATAGTTGTGTATTCTTCGTTGTGGGTTCTTCTAGTTGTGGCATGTGGGACGCTGCCTCAGCGTGGTCTGATGAGCAGTGCCATGTCCGCGCCCAGGATTCGAACTAACGAAACACTGGGCCGCCTGCAGCGGAGCGCGCAAACTTAACCACTCAGCCACGGGGCCAGCCCGTGAATGAATTGAATTTTAACGAGTACATAAGACTCACTCTTTGCTCTTAATGTCTTGAGGCCTTGGAAGGTATAAAATGTTAATCTACTTGTTAGAAGCTATGTGGTTGTATTGAGACAAAATCTGACTCCCTCTAACAACCTCTTGCTGATTTCCTTCCTGTCTTCTTCCGAGTGACAGTGCTCCAAACGCTAGACAGCAAATGGTCCTCCTCCTCTCCTAGACAATTGTTCCCCATCCCTTCAGCTACTCCTGGGACCACGTGGTTTACATACACTTCTCCACTCTTATTGCTCTCTCTCTCTTTTTATTTTTATCAGCGTCCTTCCTGAAAGATGGATGCATACATGGAACACAGCATTTCAGGTGCCATCAGGCAAATCGTAAATGGATCACTTCCACACATGTCAATAACAACAACAACAAAATCACAAAAACCAGGTTGACTTTTTTTAGAAGACACGTAGCACTCAAATATTGCAGTTCAGGTCAATGAAAACCCCAAGGTCTTTTTCCATGAATCATCACCATGTGCAGTTGATTGTTTTGACCATTTAGGATCCATTCATTAGAAAGGCTTTATATTTACCTTGCATTTATTGCTGTAAAAAGTTGTCCTACCGTGTGTTCTGAGCAGAACAACCTCTTAACTGCCCTAAAACGCTCAGGTGATTGGAGAATCCTGGCAGAGTGGAACAGCCTGGGTGGCTGTTGGTTGGATGTCGGAGGGACACATGGCTTTGTTGAGCTCCTCCCTCCCACAGCTCGCTCCAAGCCAGCCACATGTGCTCTGGGGTGTAAGGAAAGAATCGTGTCACCAGGGCCCAACTGCTTGCTGTGGGAGCCCTCTCTGAAGGAGTTGGTCCTGTGAAGCAGAGGGGGCGTTCCTGATGAGTGACACTGAGTGAGCTGTGGTCTGAGCTCAGGTCTGCGTGGGTTCCCAGGGCAGAGACTGTGGCCTGGGTGGCACCAATGGGCAGCCAGACAGCAGGCCAAGGAGCAGAACATACCACACACCCAGTGGAGAGATGGCAGAGCATCTGCGACCCTCACCCTGTTGTTGGAGGGAGTATTTGGAGAGGGAAATCCTGGGAAAAAGGATTTTCTGCCCATCAAGCCTCAAGGGCTTAGAGCCCTGGGGTGTTTGTACTCTGCTGGCTGGTCCAAAGAGTGTACTCACACATTCAGATCTCATCACCTGTAACACTGGCTGTTCCTTCTTGTTCCATCCGAAATTTGCTAAGTCCGCCTTCTAAGCCTTCGTTTGGTTTGTCAATAAATGTACAGGGTCAAACACAGAGCCCGGGTCCCTCTACCTGACTGCTACTTTAGGTAGCCACAGGATTGGTCATCATCACTGTTTCTGCCTCTTCAGCCAGTTGTGCATGAACCTAAGTAAATATTCACCCAGGCAGCATCTTATCAATAAGTCACCTAGGGAAGATCTTGTCAAACGATTAGCTGAAACAGAAATGTAATTTGCTTCATCTACCTGTCCTGAAGCCGCTGTAAGCAGAAATGAGGATGACTCTCCTGATCTATTCTTGGTAACTCTGAGTGGACTCTTCATGACTACTGCATTCTTTTCTAAATTCCCACAAACTATCAATTTACTAATCCATCAGTACAAAAGTGCACATAAATGGGTCACTTATAATGGCCTCTGGGCCATTACTCTCAAGAAATCTCAGACCACCTTAATGTTCAGGGACCTCAGTAGCAACTAAGCCACATTTCTATACCCGGCTTCACTAGTTACATTCTTCCACTGTTTTAATAAACTTAGTGGTACAAGTGCACTCTACTTGAATAAAATCCTATATACCAAAATATGTTTCAGGTTTATTTCAGAGGAATAGCAACATGGTAAAAAAGAAAAATACTGTTTGAAAGGAATTCTTTTTAGATAGCAAGCTTGAAGCTTCCTTAATGTAACAAAAATGGGATGCAACATAAAATTTGATTTAAGCACAACTCTTCCGAAGCAGGTCCTGTGTATAAAGAGGGCTCCCCCCTGCATACTGAATCCAGTTGTGTGCCTGGACCGTGCAAAGGAGGGCTGGACCTGATGCCACCATCAGCTCCTCTACACGCTTGTGACTAAAATGCTTTGTTGCTGGCTGGCATGATTGTAAATTTCTACCATACTCTGCCTGCTGTCTGTCGAACTGAATGGATAATGACATTTTTATTTAGGTTAATGTGATATGAGATGGGGCATGTAATATGAAAAATGTTTTAAAAAGCAATGCAGAGAAAATATTATAAGACGGTGGAGCATGATCTGTATGTTGGCCAATAGCCATCGTTTCAGGTTTTCTTCCTTGTATTATACACAAGCAGTTATGGAATATTTACTCTTACACGAGTTGCATACAAACAAAAGCTCTCTTTGATGGGCTTGCAATCATCTTTATACAATCCACATACCCTGCAGTTACTCCTCTAGATTTGCAGACAAGCAGGCATAGGTGGCTTGTGCAAACATACATGCAGATGAACACACAATGCCATCATCACCCAGATCTTAATAAAAGACTCTCATTTGGTTTTTCTACCTTTTGTTGTCTTCATAGGATAATGAGTGATTTCTATTTTTGTTTTCTCACATTTTTCATAATGCACGTATGTTACACTTATAATCAGATAAAATATTAATGTTATTAGGTTTTTAAAGAATGATTTCTTCTTGGGGGATACAGTCCAGCAACCAAGCCTGGGGAGAAAGTTCTCCATTTTTCTCCTCCCACCTCTCACATTGGTTGTCTTTGTTATAGACGGTGCTGAGCGTATGGCTGCTCAGCTATTTGGTAACCAGCAGTGACCATCGAGGGTAAAGCATCATCCTCAGCCTGGGAAGGAAATTCCCAAGGAATGAAGTGCTTGTTCACCTGGAGCTTAGTGCCCAGTAAAAAGAAAAATGGATTCTTTACCAACTGTGTCTGAGGAATTCTGAGTCAAGGTATAGACAGAGGGCAGCAGAGTTAATTCAAGAAGGTGCAGAGGGCTTTATGAGTGGGCAAATAGACGACTTATGGGGTAATGATAAGGAAGGGCTAAGAAATTCTTCTCTTTTTAGGTGATCCCCAGAATTTATCATTTGAGTTTCTTTACTTGAGGCTGAGACTCTGACATTATTAAAAATACTTGGCCTGGGGAGTGCAAACATTTGAAGCCACTGCCAGTTATTAGGTTTTCTCTCCTTGGCATTTTTTAGCCGTGTGACCTTGGGCAAATTGCTGAACATCACTGAGTCTATTTCTTCATCTGAAAAGTGGGAATAATAATACCTCCCTTGAAGAGTTGTGACAAGGATTAGAACCACAATATGTGAAAGGCTTAGCACGAGAAGGCAGTGAGTGTTCCACGCACAGTAGCCATCCTCTGGAGGACTCCCATGCTCCCAGATTGGTGTGGATGCCTAGTTTATTGTCTCTTCTCTGATTCCTCACAGACAAGCCCTTTGGATCCACCTATTCTTGCCTCACCATGATAACATCACTTCCTTTCTTGTATCTGCCCCTTCATTTTTATTTCCCCAGTGGCCAATCTAATTCGGGCTTTGCTACCTGTCACCTGGAATATGGCTGGCATCCTGCTTCATGAGGGCAAAGACCATATCTTAAGCATCTTTGTAGTCTTAGTACC